CCCGATAGGATACGTCCCATTGGATGCAAGTGGGTTTACAAGAGAAAGAGGGGATTTGATGGAAAGGTGGAAACCTTTAAAGCTAGGCTTGTTGCAAAAGGTTATACCCAGAAAGCGGGTATCGATTATGATGAAACCTTTTCGCCAGTAGCTATGCTTAAATCCATTGGATTCTCTTAGCTGTAGCCACTCATTTGGATTATGAAGTGTGGCAGATGGATGTTAAGACGGCTTTCCTTAGTGGGAACCTTCAGGAAGACATCTATATGCAGCAACCAGAAGGATTAATTGCAAAAAGGCATGAGCACTTAGTTTGTAAGCTTAATCGGTCCATTTATGGACTGAAGCAAGCCTCAAGGCCTTGGAATATTCGGTTTGATGAGGTAATCCAGTCATATGGATTTACTCAATGTCCGGATGAGCACTGTGTATACAAGAAGATTAGTGGAAGCGTGGTGGTGTTTCTTGTGCTATACGTGGATGACATACTTCTTATTGGCAACAACAAGAAGGAGTTGTCGGACGTAAAGGCGTGGTTGTCTAAGCAGTTTGATATGAAGGACTTGGGTGAAGCAGGACACATTCTTGGTATCAAGATCATTCGTGATCGTGAGAAAAGAATGATGTGCTTATCCCAGTCTTCATATATAAATACTGTCTTGACCAGATTCAGTATGCAGAACTCTAAGAGAGGTACACTACCTTTCAGACATGGAGTATGAAGTGAATAAATTTCACCCGGCTCCTTCAACTCGAACGGCCTCCGTACCTGCAGAACCCAACACCGGGGTGGCCCCGGCGTCGGGCCTCCGATGCCTACGTCAGTCCTCATATCAAGAGAGAGAGTGTGTAGTAATCAATCAATAGAGAATGAGAGAATGAGGTACCTTGGCCCCCTTTTATAGGGGGAGTGTACCTTTTAGGCCCAAGTTGGGCTTGACCCATATCGTTGGGCTTAGATGTCTTAGTGGGCTTATCCTCCAATATGTATCCGCTTAATCCATAAACCGGGTCCAGTATAATATCCTATATCAGAGTACCTTTATCTAAGGAGTTTTCTCCTAAGACGACTGAGGAGATAGAGGACATGAAGACAGTTCCTTATGCTTCGGCAGTAGGAAGTCTCATATATGCAATGCTGTGCACTAGGCCTGATATTAGCTACGTCATTGGCATGGTAGCGAGATATCAGAGTAATCCAGGAAGGGAACATTGGGCTGCGGTGAAACATATACTCAAGTACCTGCGAAGGACTAAGGAGTACATGTTAGTTTACCGGGCAGACAGTTTGTTTCCGCTGGGTTACAGCGATTCTGATTTCCAGTCAGATAGGGACGAGAGTAAGTCAACCTCAGGTTATGTGTTTACCTTGGGAGGTGGAGCCATTTCATAGAGGAGTGCTAAGCAAAAGTGCGTAGCAGACTCCACTATGGAAGCCGAGTACATCGCAGCCTCTGAGGCAGCGAAAGAGGCAGTTTGGCTCAGAAACTTCTTGGTGGACTTAGAAATGATTCTGAGTTTTCCACTTGTTATTACCGTGTACTGTGATAACAGTGGTACAGTAGCAAACTCAAGGGAACCACGAGCCCACAGAGCAAGCAAACAAATAGAGCGCAAATACCACCTTATCAGAGATATTGTGGCAAGGGGAGAAGTTGAGATCACCAAGATTGCATCAGAAGACAACCTAGTTGATCCTTTTATGAAGAGTTTGCCGGAGAAGGTCTTCGCCAAACACGTAGAGGGAATGAGAGTCAAATGTATGGTGATAGGATCGACATAGGTCTTTTAGGATACGGATTGATAGGACTATACTAGTAAAGCGGCAGCTTTAAGTATAAGTGGGAGATTGTTGGTGTTATATACTTAAGCTTTGCTTTAGTGGATATTACACTTGTTATTCCTTGATGAATGAGAATTATGTTTGGTTAAATAAGTTCCACGTTCTGTTGTTTTGCATGTAGATAAGTGGGTCGTCATCGGGCGTACCGAAGATCACTATATCAGTTACTTGCAAAACAAGAATCGTTAGTTCACAACATAGATGGAATTGAACAACCCATCGGAACGGTTGCAGTGTAAACTGTACGGTTTGTCTTGACCGATTAGTTGCGCTAGTACATTTATGTATTGAACAAGATCCCAGAGAGGGATGTTCGTTTTATACTAATCGTCGTAAACGAACTAGGCCTCAGTTAATTATTGCGTGCTCTTAACTCGTAAGATATTAAATAGAAATGTGCACATAATTGTTGTTGCTTTGATTCTTTGGGTGAGATCCAAGCCGGGTCGACATACTTAATGAATTGGGTAATAACATTATGTGTTCGATGTGCTATTAGGATATTTACGGTCACCATGTGCGTTAGTTTGATGATGTCCCCGACGTGAGTTCATGAAGGAATATTATGCTAAACCCTGCAGGTGGATTTATTCCGGCATAATATGAATGCTATGAGCGAGCGCTAGCTTCGGTAATATAATATATTAATTAATTCTTGATTATTAGTGATCGAATTAATTAATGGACATTATATCTTAAACATGGGGAGGTAAATCGGATAATTATAATGAGGAGTCTCAAATGTAATTTGGGATAGGTGAGGGGAGTGCAATAATATTATTGTGGTGGACTATAATATTATTAATATATTAATTTTGGGGTTGCTCCACAGTATTAATATATTAGAAGCCCTTATCCTATTCTCCTTAGGGTCCCTACTGTAGCTCTATATATACAGCATTAGGCTCATGGAAGAGAACAGAACAATCCCACACCTTGGGAAACACGTCCCGCTCTCTTTCTCTCTCTTCCAAGGAGTTCTTCTATTTCTTGTGTTCCACTGATACAAGATCTAGAAAGCTGTTTGAGAATACAGTAGAAGATCTTAAGGTATATAGAGATTCTGATCATACATCCAAACCGGAGACTAAAACCAGCAAGTGACCATACCACGACGACCAGGATGACGAGACAAAGAGATCGCCTTCGAGCTTGCCGCCAGCCGCCGCCGCACGCGCCCGCACACGCCGCCTGAAGAGAGCTGCTGCTGGAACTTGTCATCGCGCGTGAGAGCGCGTGAGAAGGCCGATTTCCGATTGGTCAACGTCGTGACGTCAGCTTTCTGGATTAGTCAAGTTCGTTCGATTCCGAGAAGATTTGATTTGCAGTCATCTGTCCGGGCCAGCCAGATCTACATAAATTTTAAGCAGTAAGTTTTCTTCATCAAACCTTTAGATCCGCTGCGCATAGGTTTATGTTGAATGTTTGTCTGTGATTTGTGCATATCGAGATCCTCATGGGTTCCAACATCCAAAAGATTCTATTGGATTCTATTTCTATGATCCCTCTTAACAAAAGGTGTTTGTTTCGAGGAATGCTGTTTTCTTAGAGGAAGAGTTTCTCTCAAAGAATAGCGGAGTTGTAGAACTTAATGGAGAACCACAAGAAATTCCACAAGTTACCATAAATAACATACCAGTAGAGACTGGACCATCTTAAACACAACCTCTTCGGAGATCCACAAGGGTTTCTAGGGCACCTGAGAGGCTGTACCTATTGTTAGAGAACAAAGCAGAGGGACTCCTTTTGGATAATGATCCAATAAGCTATGATGAGGCAATGTCGGACATTGACTCAGATAAATGGCAAGAAGCTATGCAATCCGAAATGGACTCCATGTATTCAAGTAAGGTATGGACCTTGGTTGATCCACCACAGGGTATAGTACCCATAGGTTGTAAATGGGATTACAAGCGAAAACGTGGTGTAGATGGAGAAGTGAATACTTTTAAAGCAAGACTGGTTGCTAAAGGTTATAATCAAAAACAAGGAGTTGATTATGAGGAAACTTTTTCACCAGTAGCAATGCTTAAATCCATTCGGATATTGCTTGCTATAGCTGCGTATTATGACTACGAGATATGGCAAATGGATGTGAAAACTGCCTTTCTTAATGGAAACATTAAGGAAGACATTTATATGAAACAACCGGAGGGTTTCATATCCAGTGGGAGCGAACAAATGGTTTGTAAGCTTCGAAGGTCCATTTATGGACTTAAACAAGCTTCGAGGAGTTGGAACATTCGGTTTGATGAAATGATCAAAACGTTCGATTTTCATAAGAACCCGGATGAACTATGTGTTTACAAGAAGGTTAATGGGAATGCAGTTGCTTTTGTTGTACTCTATGTTGATTATATCTTACTCATTGGGAATGATGTAGGGATGTTGCAATCAACACGGACATGGTTGTCAAAAAAATTTTCCATGAAAGATTTGGGAGAAGCATCTTTTATCCTTGGGATAGAAATCTATAGAGATAGATTTAAAAGGATGATTGGACTATCCCAGTCAACGTACATAAATAAGGTGCTAAAACGGTTTAGCATGAAAGAATCCAAACGTGGATATATTCCAATGAGTCATGGGGTTTCACTTTCTAACACGATGTCTCCAAAGACACCTGAAGAAAGAGAACGGATGAGTCATATACCTTATGCATAAACTATTGGTAGCATTATATATGCGATGTTATGTACAAGACCTGATGTGGCTTATGCACTTAGTGTAACGAGCAGATATCAGTCTAATCCAGGTGAAGAACACTGGAAAGCGGTTAAGATGATCTTTAAGTACTTAAGAAGGACCAAGGATATCTTTATGGTGTATGGAAATGGAGAACTGAAACTAGAAGGCTTTACTGATTCTGGTTTTCAGTCGGATAAAGATGACTTTAAATCCATGTCAAGTTACTTGTTTACTCTGAATGGAGCAGCAGTTAGTTAGAAAAGTTACAAACAAGAAAAAATTGTTGACTCTACGACAGAGGCTGAATATATTGCTGCATCTGATGCTGCAAAGGAAGCTGTTTGGATAAGGAACTTCATCCAAGGGTTGGGTGTAGTACCATCTGTTGTTGATCCAATAATGATTTATTGTGATAACAATGGGGCTATTGCGCAAGCAAAGGAGCCAAGATCTCATCAAAGATCCAAGCATATTATGAGACGATACCATTTGATTAGAGAAATCATTGGTAGAGGCGACGTCGTGATGGAGCGAGTCGACTCAGCATAAAATATTGCAGACCCCTTAACTAAGCCTTTATCACAAAAAGTGTTTGAAGGACATCTTGAGAAGATGGGTCTTAAATACATGAGTGATTGGAACTAGGGCAAGTGGGAGATTGTTAGAGTAGGATACCCGGCGTTCCAATCGGATTGGACGTATTCTACTTGTAAATATTATCTATTGGAATTATATTGTAAATAAGGCATTACTTTATCTTAAGAGTAAGCTTTTATCCTATAATCGCACTTAAGATAAAATCCCTAAATCACTTATGGCTATAAGATATGGTTGCGCATAGAGATGGTGATCATGGAACATACCTTGAAAGTTGCGATTTTAAATACAGTTCCAAGTCGTTGGATGTTTTGAGATGGGATATCGAATAATCCGAAAAAAGACTTGCACATAGTATGTACGCTTGATGGATAAGAATGTTGCATTCCATCAACATTAGCGTGGGACGCAAGTACATATATGTGAGTGCTTGTTAGAGAACAAGTTCACTGAACATGACCGTATGAAAATTCTTAATGAAAGATTTGTCTTGTCGAATAAGTATTTTCATGTTACAATAGTACATGACTAATCCTTAGACTTGAGGCACGATGGTAACTTTGTGCATATTGTGTTCTACTTTGATTTATCCTTTTGGTTGCTAGCACAATCGTATAAAGGGATATTTTGGGTATTACATTAATATGTATGGAAGTTTGTTAGTGGCCAACAAAGGATTCGACACTTACGAAGATAAATGAATTTCCTATGTGTTTCATAGTTGGTAATTCAAAGTCCTTGGCCAAGGCAGGATGAATAGAGATTCATACATGAATTACTAAACTTGAAATGGAATCATAGTTATTAAATCAATTTGGGTTTCGACAATATCATACCCAAGATTTAATCGGGAAATTGGATGTCGAAAGGATTTTACATGTATGGACTTGTAATTGAAATAGGTTTACTCGCTATTCACGTAATACTAGATTCATGCTACTTTCTAGGTGTTCCCATGATATGTGGGTTCTTGAATTAAGGGATTAATTCAAGAATAAGAGTTAATATGATTAACTCAAATTATAAAGAGTTGTAAACCCACTACTAGTATTAATTGTGAACCTAAAAGGTCACACCAATGTTTGTATGAAGACCAATAATAGTATTTCTAAAGAGTTAGAATTAATTGACAAAATCTAATTTTGATTAGATGTCAATTAAAGAAATATATTAAATTAATCAATTGGATTGATTAATTATATTTTGGATATTAATTTAGTGATTAATGTAATTA